GTCATTGGGTTTTTTCTTTGATGAGTGATATGTTGGCAGGAAAGCAATGCATGTTACTGTTCTTCTGCCAGTATGTTGCGCTCTCTCTCTGTGTGTGTGCATTTATTAGTAACTCATTATATGAAATTTGGATATATTGTAATTCTTGGGTGGGCAAGAGGGGAAACACCACTGCTAAAAGGAAAAGAATCCTACCACTGTCATTGATCGTGGTTATGACATCCTTAATAAAATTTCACTGCTCTCCTAAAATGTAAAAATGCATTGCTCCTTAAATTCTACTTAAAAACACAGTCCACTTTGCTTTCGGACCAAGCAGTAAAAGTTTTACATTATATTAACTAAAATATGTAAGTCCATAAACCTTTGAAATCTGCTTGCTGTGGATTTTCAACAGATAGCAATATGCAGATAATAAGAGATAACTTGCAAAAATAAATATTCAAGCAAGGCTTCCCCAAAAAGTCACAAAATAGTGTGCTAGATTTCTCTTCATCAACAACTCTTCATCAAGCTAGATGGCAAAAAAACCAACCCAAGCCAGATGAGGCAGGAGAAGTGGGGAGGGCCTGTTGGCCAGAGGAGCGGTGTCTGTGTTTTGTAAGAGTTTTAAGACAGAGTGTGAGAGAAAGTAGCAGACATTCAAATGAGGCCTGTTCAGGTGCTTTACAGGTTTCAGGTTGCACCCAGGCCTCCTGGGGATGGGAAAACACATAATGGCTGATCCCCCATCTCTGCAAATACAAAACCAGCTGCTAACTCAGTTCTGCCTCCACCTTTGGCAAAATACACAGGTTCTTTTGGTAGGTAAAGAACAAAGAGAAGTGAGGCTGTCCTTATTAGTTTCATTACATATTATGGCTGGAACCCCAAAAGCTGAGAAGGATGTTTGTCATACAACATAGGGGAACATAGTTTGTGCAACGCAAGTTTAAAACTCCCTTGGGCACATGAACTAGTTGTGCAGTTCTTTGGACCCAGGGCAAAACTATTAAAGTAGTGGGATGTCCACAGAACATACATTTGGGTGTAAGTTCACATTTTGCACATTAAAAGACAAGTTTCAGTGTGTATGTGCATGTGTGTTTTAAAGTGATGCTTGTACAAATGTGGAGGTCTGGACCATAATTTAGTTACACCACCTGCAAATATTTGCCTCCAAACAGTAACTTAAATATTTTTTATTGTTATTAAATTTTACATAACAAATTTCAATTTAAACAAATCAATCATCTTTACATTTTAGGATTCTTCTCTGGTTTCCATTGTCCATCCCTTTTTATTGAACTTATCCTTCCCCCCAATTTGTTGTATCTATTATTAACTTTCCCAGTATATTTTGTCTTTTACAAGTATTACTCTACTCCTGCCAAACAGTGACTTAAATCTGGCTGCTGCACATGAGAAAGAACTAACACCCAGCAATAAACCTCTGTATGTGGGGCAGCCCCACAGGCATCCAGTTTCAGGGCTGCCTCGAGGCAGACAGATTTCTGAACGGCATGCGTTTGATATATGGCATGCAATGTGAAATCTACTCATCTTACTGTATACAAATATATTTTGAGGTGAACTCTCTGCAAACGCACTTCCGTTCACAATTTAAACTGTCACTATTACAAACTGTGCCTGTTGAGTACCTACGCAGTCTGCATTTCCCAGATGAGGTGTCCAAGAAGGCAGCTGCTGTGCTGGTGTGGCTGGTTGGTGCGTGCATGTTCATTGCATTTTGGAAACAGGTATGTAATTTTCAAAATAACACCATGGCTCCTCACATATGCCCCAAGGGCAGGGCATGCATCCCATAAACATGCCCTTCACAAAAGCAAATCAAGCGAGGCTGGTTGTTGGGAAAACAAAAACCTCTGACAGTGTGAAGGAGAACACCTTGCCTCATGAACAACGGACCCTCAAAACCACCCATAAACACCAATGCCACAACAAATTGGGTAGGAAAAAATATGGGGAAATGCAAATGTGGTGGTCTGGAGAATTTAACAATACAGTGGTACCTTGGGGTTACAAACACCTCGGGTTACAGACTCCACTAACCTGGAAGAAGTACCTAGGGTTAAGAACTTTACCTCAGGATGAGAACAGAAATCGTGTGCCAGTGGCGCAGTGGCAGCGGGAGGCCCCATTAGCTAAAGTGGTACCTCAGGTTAAGAATGGTTTCAGGTTAAGAACGGATCTCTGGAATGAATTAAGTTCGTAACCAGAGGTACTACTGTAATTGGATCACCACTGTGACCTTTGTTCACTTGCAGTGAATAGTTCAACGGATATAGTATAGTTTTCTTCTTGGAGCCAAACCTGGCCTGAGCTTCCCTGCCTCACAGTGTGTTGTGAATCACACCGCCATCTTCTCCTCTGTGCAGCATTCCATGTTTGCAAATATGGATTACGGATCGGCAACAAATTATGGCACAAGATATTATCATCCCTGTTGTAGATCAGCGATTCCCATCTTGTTTTTAAGACTTATGGACATGTTTGGATTTTTTATTAACTGTCATGGTTACCACTCCCCTCTGGTCATCTTTCTCCCCACCCTTCCCCCTTATCAGACTCCTGCCACAGACAGAAAGGAAGGGCGCACACAGGAAAAATTCACTTTTCTATGGGAGCTGGGTAGCAGTCAGATTCATTAGAATTAGTCTGAGTCATTAGAAGTGCATAGAGCTGAAAGAGGAAGTGGGAAAGTGTCCCTCTTCCACCTTCCTCCTTCAGCTCTGTGTACTTTTCAAGGGAGAAAAATGACCAAGAGAACAGCAAGGCATTGGATACTTTGCAGCCATTGGGGGGAGCCCTCACGGGTGCCATTGCACATTGGCAGCCACTGACAAAGATGGGAGGAAAGGCAACCTTGTTGAGTCAATGCATAGCCTTTCCTGCCTGGCCTCCACTATAATACCAAAGCAAAAAATGTGATCCATTCTTTTTCAGCATTTGTGTGTGAAGGTTGCAATTGGTGATCCAGTTATGATTCAAGCTGAGGGGAGTTTGGCCACTACTCTTTCTGAGTCATGTCATTTTCCTTGACCACTGGCAGGAACCGCACCAAATAGGCACTTGGGGGGGGGATCTGTCTCAGTGTCCTTCCTACCTAACAGCATAACACAGAAATGGGGCGCCCATGGTTCTCCAAATGTTGCTGGACTCTAAGTCCCATAATCCCCCACCTTGCTGGCTGTGGTTGATGGGTGATGAATTCCATCAACATGTGAAGTGCCACAGGTTTCCCATTCCAGCCTTATCTGGTAATCGCCATTGTTTGTTAAAGACTTAATGGAGACTTAATGGAGAAGCCCATCATAGCTCAGATTTGCTGTACAGAAAGTGAACTTTCTGTGTCTTACTCATACAAAACGTCTAATTCATACATCAAGATCTTCCATTTCCACATCTAGTTTTAACAAGATGAGATAAGCTACTTTCAATGTGATAGTTACATATATGGAAGGAGCCATTTACTCAGAAAAGGAAAGCGTCAAAGACGTTATCAGCCAGGATGTTGTTGTTTTAAAGAGCAAGCAGTGATGTTTTAGATTTTTAAAAGACCCTGTACCATTAATCTGGGCTTTTATTTGTGGGGTACGGGAAATCCAATAGTATTTATAAGCATTCCTAATTGATGTTGAAATGACCAGGTTCCTTTAGCTGAATATCATTATCTTAATTTTCAAATGAAATGTCTGCATGCCATCTGTGAGCGATCTCCTCACAGCTTTATTCAGCTAAAGGCCTTTTCGGCTGGCATCAGTTTCTCAGTTCCTCTTCTAAATGTGTTCCTTATCTCCACCGCTTCCATATGTTGCAATTCTGCTGAGTTTATGAGGATATATGTATTTATTTTAATTTTTGCAGAAGGAAATACGATGGTGAAACCCAGAAAATATGAGATACCAGTAATTCTCTTCTCTTCAGGGCTGCCAATCTCTAACTTCTCACCTAGCTCCTTCCTGCTTCCCCACATTCCTGGGGTTATACCCTCAAATCATCACCAACTCTTTATACATTAATATTGATGGGATGAATAGTTATAGGACCAATAGTTATACCACCAATAGTTTCTAAAATTAGCTCTTACCATCCACTTCCAATGTGCCACCATTCCACTTTTTGCTGCTGCCCTCATGTATCCGCTTCCTGCCCCCCACTTTCCCCCAGTCCCCTAACTTCCCATTTACAGTGGTACCTTGGGTTAAGTACTTAATTCGTTCTGGAGGTTCGTACTTAACCTGAAAATGTTCTTAACCTGAAGCACCACTTTAGCTAATGGGGCCTCCTGCTGCTGCAGCACCGCCAGAGCACGATTTCTGTTCTCATCCTGAAGCAAAGTTCTTTCTGAAGCACTATTTCTGGGTTAGCGGAGTCTGTAACCTGAAGCGTATGTAACCTGAAGCGTATGTAACCCGAGGTACCACTGTATTCCTTCTGCTTGCACTTCAAAATTCTCTTGCTTACTAAAAACAGCTTCCTTCTCATATCCTGCTAGCCTAAACATCCTTGCTGGGGATTTGGTCAAGGGTTCAAACTGTAAATAAGAGTAACATTTCTCATGCATTGTCTTTCTGGTAACTATATAGAACTAAGAAAGCATGACGGAAGCTGAGCTGCAGAGTTAATTGCTATGCCCAGGCTCAGAAAGCTGATACATTTCTAGTTTTTTTAGGAAACCTTTCCTGAAAGTGCCTTTCCTGCCTCTCCAATTATAATGATCTAGTAAAGCTAATTACACAGAACGCATCTCTGACAAACCAACACTGAAATTTGGAGGATCGCTGTGCCTATATCTTACTCATGACACATATTTTTCTGTGCCAATTTCTTCCTGCTCCTAAAGACCTGTTCTCACAAGCAGCTCGGCCCATAGCAGGCTTAGAGGAAAAGACAACCTATGCTGACTCCTCCCATGTCAAACTGTAGCCAGGTAGCCATGTTGGTCTGACGCAGCCGAAATATATATAAAAAATTGTCCAGTAGCACCTTAGAGACCATCTAAGTTTGTTCTTGGTATAAGCTTTCGTGTGCATGCATGAAATCTGAAGAAGCGTGCATGCACACAAAAGCTTATACCAAGAACAAAGTTAGTTGGTGTCTAATGTGCTACTGGGCAATTTTTTAAATTTTTTAAAAATATATTTTGACTGTAGCCAGGCAGTTTCAAGAAACTAGTGTTGGCATGCACAAGATTCACCCTGGATTTGGCTTTTAGCATACCCTACTTTTAGGTTGAGATATGTGGTGGTGGCTGCAGCAGCAGCATGCCAAATCTAAATCCTGCAGATTGCACAGGCTGGTCACCATGAACTAATGTGGCTAGAGGTCAGCATCAATGGCTTTTCCTCTTCATTACTGCCATGGAATCCATCGACCACACTGTACAAAGAATTATAATTTTCTCATAGTACTTGCTTGCACCATGACAATAACCAGTGTGGTTAGAAGAGGTCACTGGGCAAATCACTCTCTCAGTCCAACTTGCTCACAGGCTTCTTGTCCACACAAAAAATGAGAAAGCTATACTGTAACCAATGCTGAATCCTTAAAGCAGAGGAACTCGAATGAAAATGAAAATTTCAATAAAAAGTGTGTGTGTGTGAAGCCGCATATAAATTTTGTGAAATATATAAAGAAATTATTTTTATTTATGTTTTTCAACATGACCTGGGCAGCTCCTAGTTTACGGATTGATGATTAAGTATGCCTCTTCAAGAAACAGCTTGAAGGGCCTTTGTTTCCTGCTTTACTGCCCCGCTAGACAAGACTTCATATTGTATTAGGAATTACTGCAAGATAATATGCATGTTGAAACACAGATCACCACACCCATCCTCTTTCTTTCTTTCTTTCTTTCAGACAGGATGATTTATGTTCCCAGCATATTACTAGGTCATATCTTTAACATTATTGTGACTAGGAGTCAAATTAGCATTTTATTAGTTATTGTTCCCAATAAACCATTTGAGGAAAATGCCATTTTTCTCAGAAGTCAGATTAATTTCAGTGGAGATTACTCCCAAGTCAGCTTTTTAATTCTGGGAGTGGTTGGACAGATTGGGGGGGGGGGTGTGGAGACAGAGTCCACTGGGTGCTTTTTTGTGGTGTGAGTGAGTGAGGGGGATCTACTGGGACAGAGCTTGCATTAGAGCTAAAACCCAATTTAAAACCAGCCATACTGTTTCTCTTTCTGCATACAGCACACAGGTGTACACCTATGTGTCTCTATCCACCTGCAAACCTTCTGTGTGTATAATCCTATATATTGCATGGTTTGTTTTTTAATAGCTTTGTTAGCTGCATGGCTTTTCCTAGTGACAGAATGGCAGACCTAGAAATATTTCCTGTCTTCCTTGTTTTGGATCCCATTTTTCATCAGGCATGACATCCAAGTGGTTTACATAAAACGAACATAAAAAACCCTCACCTATAAAGTTCAATTGAAAAAACCAACAGTAAAACCAATGATAATCAATATAAAACACACAAAAAGAAGACTGGAGACTGAAAACACTTCATTTTGAATTAATAAATAAAATAGCCCTTAGTGATTTTTTATGATCAGTTGCACTGTAACAGCCAAAATTAAAGATTATGGATGCAAAGCCATCTTTTACAGTTATTTTGAAATACATAGCTACATTTTCATGTCATTCATTCTCTGGGGCTAACATGGGGTGAAAAGGGGAGGAGGGTGATCTTTCTGCATTCCACTATCATTCAGAACCTTTAAAAAACTAAAAATATAGAGAAATACCATTTCAGAAGATAGATAGATATAGCTGCAGCTTGGCCACTTAGTATGGGGGAAGAAAACCCTTGACATGTACTGCCACCTGTTGGGAATCATATGAAATTTCTCCTGGTCCTAACTATACAACAGAAATATTTATAACAGATTTTCTGTCATCTATATAACACCATCCCCTAAGTAATATTCTAAGGTAAGGAACTGACCCATTTGCTATGGGGTGGAGGGTGCAGAAGTGGGTATAATTACCACACCCAATTATCAGGGTGGGAGAGGGAACGTATTTATGAACAGATGAACAAGGAGAAACATGTTAGTTTTGTCCATTTAATTAATACATCAATATCAGATATTTAAAATCTCTCTAAAATACGGCTATTTGAATGCAATAATATGCAAATTAGGCTTAGGCTCAGTGAAATCTTTACATTGCTTAAATTAAATATATAGTGTTGGATCCTAACTTCAATTGCTTCAAAGGTAAGCCTGCAAGATCACTAACTAAGATGGGATACTATTATTATAGATTTTGAGAGGGCACCTTCCCAAACCCTGGATTTTGATTATTTTGAAGAGAAGATTGCAGGCCAGTGAAAAATACAGGCTAAGCTTCCTTCCCAAGCCTGGGATACAGGCATTAACATGACAAAAGGTGTTGATGGCCCTTCTAAGTGGAATCATGGGCCTGGGCAGACAGAGGGTTGCCAAGGTAACTGGGTGGGAAGTGACAAGGAAAGAGTGTCTTAAGCAAGGTGTGCTGGGAAGAAGAAGGGAGAAGAAAAAGACTAAGATCCATCTTGGGCAGGCTGGCTGGGAGAGAAGCCTTTGACTCCAGTGCTGGATGGAAATGAAATGACCATGCTGTAAGATCTGGACTCCCTCCATGCAGACTGAAGGTGTAAATAGGTGGATAAATCATATTTCTTAAACCTACAACAGTCTCTAGCACGTCACCAATTCTCCAAAAGAACATAGACCCTGGGTGAGTGCCCAGAATCTTGCTACCACTTGGCAGAGAGTGGGGATAGCACCCAACTTTTGTGACAGTATGATCATATGATGCCAGTTCTTTGTTCACCTGAGCTTGTTTCTGTTCTGGTTCTAGACACAATTCAAAGTGCTGGTCTTAACTTAGCCCTCAACTTATTTGGGCTTCAAGGTGTTGTTGGACTCCGACTCTCTTCAGCCCCAGCCACTGTGGCCAATGATCAGGAATGCTGGGGTTTTAAGTCCATCAACACCTAGAGGTGCAACAGTTCCCCAGGCCTGCTTGAAATCCCTAAAATGGCTTGTTACCAAGTCATCTAAAGGATTGCCTTGTCTCACAGAAACCTAGCCAAGCCCATATGATCTTTCTGAGATGCCCTTCTCCAGGTTCCCCACCACCACCAAATTACATGCAGCAAGTGACCACCAGGGAAAGATGTGGCTTCTGTGATGCTTTTCCAAACTCGTTGGCCTTTTCAGTAGCAGATGAAGACCCATTTTCACTTTCCTTGGCATTTGCATCTTAAAATCTTCCAATAGAAGATTTTAGAACTTCTGATCAATAGAACTTCTGGTAGTTTTGGACTTTTAAGATCTATGAATTTTTCGTTCCTATTAGTGTTGTTGCCTTGGTTTTTATCCCCTGGTACTGTTTCATGGTATATCTTTCTAGGTAGCTATTTTATGTATATGGTTAGCCATTATTCAGTGGCATATAAATGTAAATTAGCCAGTAAGCTGAATAGATAAGCAATATGTGCTGTTGCAGAAGGGTTTTTATCCATGTAGTAGAAATGAGACACAAGACCTTGTTATGTGCAAAGACTTCAGGATCAGGGCCCTTGGGAACAATTATGAACAGTTCTGTATAATATTATCATTCCTCCAGAAAAGGTTTTCTTTCCCATCAAATATTGTCCTTTATTAGTCTGATGCATTGCCAACCCATATGCATGAACAGCCTTCAACAGTCTCTCCTGCCTGTCCATGCATGGATAGATGAATCATATGTGAGTTGCTTTCCACGGTCTCTCTCTTTCACAAACCATGACACATTTTGGAGCTTCTGCAATCATGGAATTGTGGTGGGACTGAAAGTCTACAGTGCTAATTTATCTAATAAGAGGTGTTCCACTTTGTGAAAATTCAAGTTACTTGTGTGCATATTACACTAGTTGCAACTGTTACGTTAGAAATCATTTAATGCTAGGGTAGCCATGGGCCCTGCTTTGCAGAGGACAATCTTCTATTTGAAAGTGTTCTTCTTGAAGGCTATCTTGTCCAAGTCCAGATTAAAGATACAAAACCATAAGAAAGAAGAGCAGGAAGTTTTAAGTTCCACTTCTGAAAGTTAGCATTTGGATAGCAGCTACATAGGCCACCTGGTCTTCCCCACTATGGAGATAAATGTTGGATGCTACAGTAATTATTTCTAAATTTTCATCAATAGGCATGAATTAGCACCAAAAATAAAAATAAAAAATATATCCCGCCCTCTCTGGCCAGAGCCAGACTCAGGGCGGCTAACACCAGTAAAATTACAATAAAAACATAATGGGGGGGGATTTAAAATACAGGTTAAAATACAATTTAAAATGCAGCCTCATTTTAAAATTAGCCCATAGATCAAAACCATAAGGGGAGGGAAACATAAGGGTCAGACTGAGTCCAAGCAAAGGCCAGGTGGAACAGCTCTGTCTTGCAGGCCCTGCAGAAAGATGTCAAATCCCTCAGGGCCCTAGTCTCTTATGACAGAGCATTCCACCAAGAAGAAGATGACGACAACACAAGTCATCTTTTCCTTTCTCTTTTTGGTAGTTACTTGTGGTAGTGGGGAGAACTGGGAGGCCACACAAGGTACCCTCTCCTAAGGATATACCCACCAGCTTTCCACTGAAAAACGTTGCCTGAGCTTCCTTGTTGTTGCACCACCATAATGGTGGTGGCAGAGGGTGGGTACATTTTGTGAACACTCTCTCCGTTCTGCTTCACCCACGCACCCTGTGTAATGATGCTTTTTAAAAGGCCAACCCCAAAAGGTGGGGGGAGTGTGTGTGCAGCTGTGGCGCCAGCACCAAGGCCTTCCATATCACCACTCCAGTATTTCATATATAGGCAGGACTTCACCAAGTGGCGACGCTACGACACCGGGTTGCTGTCGCTTACTGCATTTGCATCACCCTAGCTTCCCTGCTGCCCCGTCCCCTTGCCTTCCCAGGGGAGCAATAGTGACCCATCTGCCTGGAAGCCAGCATAGCGGCTTCCACTCACCTAGCAAGCTGCTCCGGGTCTTCATAGACAAGACAGCCCTGATCAGCTGGAACTTCAGCACCATGTTTTGTTGTTCTTGGTAATGTGGGGCATCATTGTTACTACGATTTCGGTCTCATTACAACAAGAAGAAAAAATGGTACCAAAGCTGCAGCTTATGCCAGCTATAAGCAGCAGCAGTTTTGAATCCCCACAGTTAGGGGTTTTTTTGTACTACTTGAAATCTTGAGGTCCCCCCCACCCCAAGCATGCAGATACTTCCCTATTGGGCAGGGGTACTGCTGTTTAGGCTCTATACTTGGAGAATGAGAAGCTCCCAGCCCCTTTTTCGCATCATACATTTGGCAAAGCCCTTGTAATGGCACATAATCTGGTTTAGTTGTTTTCTGACACAGCGTTACACACACACACCTGAGAATAACAAGATTTGTCAACATAGTTTGGTTTACAATGATGGTAATGAATTGCCGGTTCCTTGGGGGTGCTTTCTTTTTTCGTCAAGCCACCACTGTATCCCCTTAAAAACTTTGCACAAAACTACCCCAACCTCTGTTTTGCTTCTGCCATTTGTTCTTTTTTGGGGGGCAGGGGAACACCACCGTTGTTTTTTTAAGTGGCAAGAATTTTTAAATTGACGCTGTATGAATATGCACCTGCTGGTAAAAATAGATGCACCCACATGCACGCTCTGAGTACAAATATATGTGGGAGGTGAGGAGATGAATGGTTATTTTTAAACCAGACTCTCAGCACGATAGGAATTATTTTCTCTAAATGAATGCCTCCTAATTGGAGGATAAGTTAACCGAGCTAATAACGGTGTATGCTACACCTAACATTTTAAAATCTTCATCTAAACCAGGGATTTTCAACTTCCATGTTTCCAGAAGCCACACACTTCTCCAGGAAACTTTTTTTTTTTTGGTGGGGGAGGAGGAAGGAATTCAATGTCTAAACTAATAGTCACACAAGTTGTTATTCGGCAAGAAAGCTGGTACCATCTGGCAGTCAGAGGAGTGGGCCATTGCATAAGAATGTATACTACATATTACATACGATGCATTACATAAGAAAATATACAACATGCCAAATCTAAAAGAAATATAGTACCTTAAGGAACTGAATATCTGTTTCTTAAAACGTGAAATTATTGTTCAAGAAAATGTAAATTGTTTTAATTTTTATTACTACACTATGAAAAATGTGAAAGGGTACCTAAAAACAGATAAACCTTTGGTGGGACCCGTCTGTCGACTTAACCTATACAAAGGATTGCCATTTTGTTGTTAAATCAGAATAATTTCTGGATTCAGGTTAGATATCCTACTGCAACTGAAGGATTTAAAACTATGGGAGGGTTCAATTATATTACATCCTATATCTCAAGATTCACCACGTGAACTTCAAAACTATCATAGTATGAATACCTCCACCCCACCCCGCAGCCACGTAAAAACAGCAGCTGTTTGAAAGCTGCTCAGAGATTTGCAGCCTAAGGAGCAGTCCCTGCTGAAAGATTAGTGAGCAAAGTGGAGGTGAAGAGGTCAGGTGGGTAAAAAAGATGCAGCTAATTCTCCTGTTGTGCAGCTTATTTCATGCCCAACGAAATGAAAACATTCTTCTGGAGCTTCCTAAAAAACATAGGCAGGTGATTCTCCAGAGAACATCTTGAAACCCAATAAATATGTGCATAATTGCATAGTTCAATGATTAGCCTGCCTGCACCACTGCCACAAAGCTTAGAGACCAGCACCTCAAGGCATAGTTCCGCAATCCAGATGCAGACTTCTGATGCACATACATGCAATGGCGCCCCCAGTTATTTCAGTAGAAGGTGCTGGTTTGGACACACACAGGAATGCATGGGTGGATCTGCTCCTCCATTGAAATGAACAAGAAAGCAGCTGTAGGAACAGACATGCCATACTTGCATAAGAGTTCCCACATCTGGCAAGAATTGCTGGAATGGGTTGTAAAGGTGCATGCAATTAAGAAGGGCTTCTTGAGAGATGCTATTTGAGAGGAAGGCAGGGATGGGGAGTCAGAAAAGAGGTGCGGCTCAGTTGTAGAGCATTTTCCTTACATGCAGAAGGTCCCGAGATCAATCCCTCTGTATCTCCAGATGGGCTGCCCCAGACCCTGGACAGTTGCTGCTGCTCAGTACTAAGCTAGGTAGGCCAATTGTCTGACATAGTATAAGGCAGCTTCCTATGGTTATGTGTGCAAAGGCTGTGCACATAAAAGGTGCATAAGAATAGGGTATGTTCATATAGTGGCACCTGCCCCTTCCCTATGTATGCAAACCCTGATAGGCATTAGAAGAGCCCTGCTGGATCAGACCAAAGGCCTATCTCGTAGAGGCAGCATCCTGTTTTTCACAGTGCCCAACCAGGTGCCTACAGGAAGCCCACTGGCAAGACACGAAGGCAACAGCACGCCCTCACTGCTGTTCCCAGCAACTGCCTCTGATCCTGGATAGTTCACTCTCCCTGCATTCGTCCGTGACTGAATGTCTCTAGCTGGAACGAAACACAATTTGGAGTACTGTAACTGTTTATACATTTCTGCTTTTGCCGCAATGTTTCGAGCCACGGTGAGCTAAAGAAGGGTTCCAACCTCTAGCAATTGTAGCATTCCATAACTTTTTGTTCTGCTTTCCAAAGCTCATCCTTCAAGTCTTACTAGGTGATGAGCCTGTTGGTCTTCTTGCCCCAGGTTATGGGGAACATGGGGGTGCAAGGGAAAGAGGAAGACTCTGATGGGACTCATTAGGTGATTCTTGCCCATAGAATTTAGATTGCTTGCATTATGAACTAAACTTTTGTGGGGACGGCGTGTTAAGGTTTGTAATCCAAATAAAATATGATACAAGTTGTAGTATCACTGTTATATACTGTTTCCAGAGGAGGTACTGTGTTAGCCTGCTGTTGCAGAAAATATAACAAAGTTTTGTGGAGTTTTAAATACACTTAAATACAAATATCTTTGTGGACTAGAGCCCACTTCATCAGATGGATGAATTTCCTATCCCCATTTGGCTTGCATTTCTAAAGGGGGAATCAGAAAAAACCAAGAAAGAATATGGGCTAATATGACAGGTCCTATATACTATGTGTGTTTCACTTCAGCTGAATTCTTCTGGTGCCATATTTTATTTGTGTATGTTCTTGTTGATTAGGAAACCTTTGGTTAGCCAAGGTATGGCCAATTAACTAAGCCCAGAAACATAATGAAAAGCAATGCGAGATACCAACTACAGTATCGCAAATCATAAAAGTGATTTTGGAACTTCTACAAATAGAAGCTGGAATGATAATGCAGAAATGAATACATGCAAAATATGGATTAACGCAGTGGTAGCTCATATAGTGGCTTTTTTGGGTGGGGCACTACCAGATTTGTTTTGTCTGAAACCCTGGAGAACTGCTACTGGTGTCAGTGTTGGTGCCATTAAGCCAAATATACCAATGGCCTGGCTGAGTATAAGGACATGTTCCTATGGGCCATTGGTTTGAACTTACAGTGCTCTATGACAGAGGAGAACCCATCCTTGACGGAAGCCTAGCAGAGGCTCAGATGCTGCTACTTTGGCACTATGTAGGAGGCATTGAGCAAGCTCTGAGATCACCAGCCAACATCAAGCACTATTATTCACCCAGTGACTATGGGCAGTATCCAACAAACTTTCTGCTTGCACAGTGCAACTTTCCCCCAAAGGAGATTTAGGGGAACATGGGAGCGGGGAGGTTTTGCTGGGCAAGTGGAAATCCTTGCATTGATGGAACAAGCTAATTGGATACTGCCATATGTGTGTTGCTGAAGTAGTCGCTCCTCTGCCTACAACATTCTCCTGACAGCATCCGTCATTAAGGGCATTGGGTCCTGCTTTCTCTTGCTCCATGCTGAGCAATGGAAGCTGGTGGGCCACCAGCAAACTGCCATGTGAACCATTACTGGTGTGGTACTTTAAGTATTATATGACAGGTTTTGCCGATAGCCAAACAGAGAAAGTTTATTGGTCCACTGTTTATTGATGCCATGGGCTCCATTGCATTGACCAGCTCAAGTACAAAGATTAGAAGGGGGTGGGAAGAAAGAAATCACAGTGTAATCCTGAAACTTCTTCATCCCTATGTCAGTTTTATAGTGTTTCAATGTAAATGACGGAGGAGCTACATGCTGCTGTTCTTCCCTCCCCCTTTTGGCCCCTTTTATACTTTACAGATCCTGGACTTAAATCCTAAATTTAGTACAAAAGAGTTTGGCTGGTATAAAGAGCTTGTACACAGTATCCAGAGGGAATAAATCAATGAAACCGAGTAGCAAAGCAGTTTGGGTAGAGAAACTTAAGACTTTGGAGGCATTCATTGTGTAGTATAAGGATGTGGAACTTCTATCGTCCCTGACTATTAGTCTTGCTTGCTGGAGCTGATGAGATTTGGAATTCAACATCAGCTGGAGAATCTCAGGTTCCCCAACGAAAGGCTGTATCCAACCAAGTCAGTGTATTTATTTGTTTATTTTTAAATACTGAAGTAAAATAAATAAAATAAGTCAGCATAGAGACATTGAAATCGATAGACTTGAGCTGGTCATGTTGATGGATTTCAATGGATCTGTTCCGAGTATGACTTAGACTCAATCCACATACGTAAGATGGCATTTGCAAAGATGCCCTGTTGTTGCCAAAGGTCAGTACCACCGCCCTATGACAGCAACCTGCTACTTTCATGAACCCATGAACTTTGTCCCCTATAAACCCAGTCAGTTTAGAGGCTTACTAAGAAGCTAGAAATGGGATACATACATGACACTGCAATGGGTGTGTAATGACACCTACTCAGTAGACAGTACCCCTCTTCTTCAGACGTTACCCCTTCTTTCAGAGGATGTGTGGAGGGAGGTGCAGGGCTGTTTCACCCTAGATGTGAACATCTCAGAACTCCACTGCCAGACCTTCACGTGTTGAGTGCAAAGTCTGAAGGGGGAACTTAAGATGCTTTTAGCTGAATGTCCACAGGCTCAGCATGCTTTGAAGCATTGTGTGGTTGGAGGCCCCCATTGCTTGGAGGAACCTGTTCCACCAGGGTCCAAATCAAAGGGAAGCAGAACTAGTCTATCACCTCTGCAGATATACCAGCTGCCTTTGGACGTATCTCAAGAAGCCATTCCACCAGACAACCCATGACAGCTGTTATAAATACTGTTACATTAATAGCTGGTGCCTGAGCTTGCTTTTTTCCCTTTACCCTTACTCTCTCTTTTTCTTTGTGTGTCATATTGCCTTACTTACATTCGCGTCTTACTAATGATTTTGTATCCCACTCCAGGATTCCTTTGCAGCAGAAGAGCAGGACAAAAATGCTTCAAATAAAAAAATCTGAAAGTGCTTCAGAGTGCTTTCTTATTATCACAGTTGCATCTGTACACAGGAGCTCACCTTCTGCTTAGCATTTTCAAACATGATTAACATTTTAAGAGAGGGTGTGGATTTGACATTCCATTGAATATTTTATTGTTTACAGCTAGAAGCAACAGCACAGGTAAGTCCAATGCCTCAAATGACCATCCAGAGGGTGGCAAATGATGAAGGCTGTGACAAACAGGCCTCTATTGTACATAGTGGGATTTATGTCTTAAGTAAATATGCACTGGACTATGCTGCACACAGATAAGCAATGCAATGTGTATACTTGAGGACATCAATCTCACTATATGGCATAGTCATTAAGCCCTGCACGTTCCCTCTTTTGCTTTTGTGCTCAAGGTCCCATTTCTAACTATCTGAACGTGCTTCTCCATGTATCACAACATTGCTCAAGATCTCCTGTGGATAATCTCACTCGTGTCTCTGTACTAATATCCAAAGCATTTGGATGTTGCCAATTTTAGAAGTCAGTTTATAGAGGTTCAGACTCCCACTTCCCAGATCAGGTTTGCTATCATGAGTTAAACTTTGGAATATAGAAAGCTACCTTTCACAGAGTCAGACTTTTGGCCAGGGATGCAGGTGGTGCTGTGGTCTAAACTACTGAGCCCTGGGCTTGCCGATCAAAAGGTTGGTGGTTCAAATCCCTGCGACGGGGTGAGCTCCCGTTGCTCGGTCCCTGCTCCTGCCCACCTAGCAGTTCGAAAGCACGTCAAAGTGCAAGTAGATAAATAGGTACTGCTCCAGCGGGAAGGTAAACGGCATTTCCGTGTGCTGCTCTGGTTTCGCCAGAAGCGGCTTAGTCATGCTGGCCACATGACCCAGAAAAATTCTCTGTGGACAAACGTTGGCTTCCTTGGCCAGTAAAGCGAGATGAGCGCCACAACCCCAGAGTCGTTCACGACTGGACTTCACTGTCAGAGGTCCTTTACCTTTAGCTTTTTAGCTCAGTATTGTCTCCAGTGCTCCAGACATTCAGTTTAGACCTTCTACATATACAGCATATGCTCAGCCACTGAGAAACAGTTCTTTCCCTTGCTCATGCCAGAAGAACAAATCCAAAACAATGGCTTCCCAGTGCCAAGAAGTTCTGTTTTCATCGACACTGCTTTGTGAAGGGGGTTGCTATAATTATTTTACATACTGAAAGCTTTAAAGTTAGCACAGTCAGTATTTCTTGCACTCTATTTCTCTCTCACTTCACTTGCTAACATTCTCTCTCTTTCTCTTGGTAAAAAGGTAAAGGACCCATGGACGGTTACGTCCAGTGAAAGGTTCGGGGTTGCGGCCCTAATCTCGCTTTTCAGGCCAAGGGAGCCTGTGTTTGTCCACACACAGATGAGCTTTCCGGCTCATCTGGCCAGCATGACTAAACCGCTTCTGGCACAACGGAACACCATGATGGAAACCAGAGTGCATGGAAACACCATTTACCTTCCTGCCGCAGCAGTACCTATTTTTCTACTTGCACTGGTGTGCTTTCAAACTGCTAGATTGGCAGAAGCTGGGACAGAGCAATGGGAGCTCACCCCATCATGCAGATTCAAACCGCCGACCTTCCAATCGGCAAGCCCAAGAGGCTCAGTAATTGAGACCACAGTGCCACCCGCTCCCCCCCACACAACATCAGATATATCATTCCCTGCTTCTAATGAAGTCAACTGTAGCCCATCAACACTTTTGTCAAATCAAT